GTTATACATTTGAAAAAAAACATGAAAAACTTCAACAGAGAGCGTATTTAGGTAGTTTTAAAGCAGGGGATGGGGTGGGGAGGCCGCTTAGCAACATCTGGGATCGAACCCGGCAAACCGCCATTATTAAGCGTTTGTTAACGCCTTAGCCGCAGACGCCGACAACAACCCGAGCAGAGCTATCAAATAACCACACGCATAAAGTTGCATTTAGTAAGTAAATTTTACCACACTAGAACATCAAACAAAGCGATAAACCCCGGTGACACAGAGTGCCACCATGCGGATGAGAATCACCGAGGTCCCAACAACGGCGTTCAACCGTCAGGCAATATTACAGCTAACGGCAAAGGCCAGGGTGGGGCTTCAAAACAACGAAAAATTGCTTCCCACATGGGGGATACATTTGGTTAACAATGGCCTTTTATGTTCCGTCGTGGTTGATTAAAGCGAAGGGAGATAGACAAGACAATTTCACAGTTGGCTTGACCTCCTAGATACATTTACTGGTGCCTATTTTAGGCCGCGTCGACCTGTGATCAAAGTAAGGTTTAATTCGAGGGGGGGGGGGGGGGGGGTTCTTTTCGGATTTGAGCGGTTACCTTCGGGCCTGCACATGAACATCTAGCCACCACGTTATGTGGTTTTTTTTTTTTTTTTTTTTTGTTAAGGGGAAAGTACTAAATATTAACATCCTTTTATTTCAAGTTATCTATAGCTACTTCCCTTTCTTTTGGAATAATTCTCTAAAAATTAGGGCTGTACCGAATATTCGCTTCGGGGCCGAATAGTGGACCTAATATCTATTCGGTATTCCGCCGAATACTTGCGGTCGGGCCGAATACGAATAGTGGTTACCTTACACCTGTTTCTGCATACACTGCGATGGACTGAAATAACTCTCATTAACACAGTAGTTGCTGTTGCCTAAGTCTGTCGTAGCGGGGGAAACTGCGACTCAGTTGCGTGGTACAGCAGCTGGCAAGGTCTTTTCCTGCTGACTCGATCGAGGCATTTCAACAGAAGTTCTCAAACTGGGTGCGTATGCCAGGGGTGCAAGGTCTTTTCTCAAACTAAGTGCGTATTCCAGGGATGCAAGGTCTTTTTCTGCTGACTCGACCGAGACATTACAGCAGAGGTTCTCAAACTGGGTGCGTATCCCAGGGGTGCCCCGGCTAAAATCAAGAAAAGTCGGCTATAAATTGTGTCATTATTAAAGAAGGTATAAAGATACTTAAAAGTTAACAATTAAATTGTCTTTCCTCGCCACTGTCGAAAAGAGTTGTTTTCTTTGTTTCACACTCAAAGTGTGTCATACTGCATAAACTGCCAACCGCAGCGTGCTAAAAACTGTCTTTGTAATTATCACAAAGTGCAACCGATCCTCCATCTGTATTCGTGAAGGTGCAGCGGATATGTAAGGTTGTTATTACATTTTGGCTGAAATGTTAAAGTGGAAAATGTGGTCTGTACAATAGTAATAGAGGACGAGCGGTCTGATGCGAAGGAGGGCATGCAGCTCAGAAACTGAGCAAACACTAAAACTAGCAGCAGTCTGAAAGTGGTCGAACTTTTATTTATTTTTATTTTTTTTAATCAAAAGGAATCGGAATCGGGCCACTTACCTTTACCCGCTGCAGGTACTGTAGAAGCCATTCCTATACTGAAAGGACTCCAGAACATAGAGAAAAAGGGGAAAAAAAAAGGAAAAAAAGGTGAAAATGAGACGATAGAACTAAGGGATAAATGGACGGAGAGGACACTGAGACAACTGGAGGGAGCGACTAGGAAAACCATAATTATTCCTTTCATCGGAAATTCAGAAGAAAAGGAATGAAGTATTTAGGACAGATTAAAAGTATAATACATACTGTTATTTAAAAAAAAAAAAAATTAAACATACTGGAAGAAAAAGTTAAAGTAACGCGAGCAAGAGGCAGGCAGTGAAACAAGTGGGGAGAGTGTATGAGAGAGTGTGGGAAGACTCCAGTTTCCAACGCCTATTTGAACAGCTTCCCACATTTCCCACCATCACCCTAGACACCCAACACAACTGCATTCACTGATACACATACGCTCTTACATGAAGTATAGGTTTATTGTTGGTCTAAGCTGGGATAAACACAGGCAGAACAGTATAATTCATGTATGCTGTTTATTCTCTTTTGTTTGAGGTTTGAACAACGGATCAACAAGACAGCACACGGGCGTGCTCCGTTCTTTTTCTAACTCAAATATGAGTCCAAAGAAGCTCAGCACAGTGCACAGGCTCTGTAGCTCTGGAATACTTTGGGTAGATTTTAAACTCAAAACTGTGCCTGGGTAGCACCGTTGGGTTACTCTTTTCGATTTCTAACTGCCGAGTGATTTTTTACTTGCCTAACAATGCACACTGGCGTCCGATCTCACCACCCAGAGGTTAGTTGCGTATCCTTTAAAGGACGTTGCAGAACCAACCCCAACAGCCCCCTGGCTGTTATGTGGTTTTTATAGGCAAATTTACGTCCAGTAGTTTGCCATTTCTTTCAGGACAGTCAGCTTTCTTGATACCACTGTCGAAACCAACGCAAGGCGCATGGCCCGCAGTTGGGATCGAACCCGGCATCCCGGCATTACGAAGCGTTCGCATCAACTTAGCCACTGAGCCGACCACTACCCAGAGACCAGAGGGAATTACCAGGTCCACGTAAACAAAATCCCAGCCCTTACCGGGGATTGAACGCGGAACATCTTTCACTAGAGGCGGACAGCATGCCTCGAGACCACGCAGCGCCCTTAATTCTTTTTGCGAAGCGTGGATATGAGATCTGACATCACTTGGAATATTCCCAAACATGCCCTGTTATTCTATTCGAAGTTCTGTGCTGGACTGGTATTTTAAATATTAGTTAGTTCCGTATCCTTTACAGGACGTTGCAGAACCAACCCTAGCATTTTTTGGCTGTTGTGGTTTCCTAGGCAAGTTTACGTCCAGTAGTTTGCCATTGCTTTCTGAAATTTAAAATATACAGCCTTCAATCAATCTGTTTCAGCCTTCAGTGAAGAGCATGCGCTTGGGTTATGAGTTCGATTATCTTCACAGCACTCCGGATACATCCATAGGTGCTCAGATTCCCCTTTCAACATATTCATCAGCGTTGTGCGGTTAATAGTACCAGTCCTATGTTGGTTAACACGACTTCGTGTGAATACAGTGTGCTTCTCATGCTTGGATGTGCCGATCTTTACTCCTAATTCGCGTATTCTTAGCAATGACGTGGACACGTTGCTTCCAAAATTCTCAGAACGTCCTATCTCTCTGACAATGTCTGCGTGATATATGGGGCGGCCATCTTCAATTAATGCAGCACCTGCCAGTCTATCAGCTCTCTCATTACCAACAACGCCTGAATTCCCTGGGACGAATATGAAAGAAACTGCACACACAGGAGCTTGCGCTTATTATTGGGTGGATGCCGAAAGGACAAAAGTGTGGGGGAGCTCCCAAAGATGGGACTAAAGGTACCTTAGTCCCTAGGTTTCGGCGCATGTGGACCTAACCACGCTGGTTTGTAACTGTTTTGTTGTGTCCCAATAAAACTGTTAAAAAGCTATGCGGTTGAACAGCTTTTCAGGATTTGTAGCTGTTTAATTCTCATCCTTGAGATTTAATCCGACAGAATGCGAATCTGGAGGGGTAACACTTTAAAGTATATGGGTAAAAAACACACTATTTGTGCAGTTCTGAAAGAGCGCATCTACCATAAATACAATACGATGGTAATAAGAAACGCGCAAGTTGCGTCTGAAGGCTCAAGTGAATCACGCAATAAGATTTGCGTCAAAGTGATTCAGCTGTTCGGGTTATCCTGATTGTAAAAATAGACAGGTTGTATTTGTTTTCCTGGCGGGTGTTTATTTCTGATTCCCCGTGTGTGCCTTTGACATAGATTTTCTGCGCCTGATTGGTTCGACACAGCAATGGCTGGCTGGTCATGCATACAGTGGCTGATAACATATAGCAGCACATCATCTTACGTCGGTCACTCTTACATCAGCGTGAGGACTTTCACACCCCACCCTTCTTCTTCTCGCTTACAAGTTTTTATGTTCTGTCTTATATACTGCAGAACATGAGAAAAATAATAATAGTGGAGTGTTTTTGAAAAAGCTGACAGAAAATTGTTAACAAAGAATGGGGGGTATAAATTCTTATTTTGTGTCTCGTCTTTCTTTATCGGGTTCGTGGTTGTCTTGATGACGTCACCGGACGCCATGTTGAGAATCTCCGCCAATCACTGGCCATGTTTCTGTCACGTGACAGGGATAATAACCCGACCTGTGACACAGTGAATTTGATCATTGACTAGGTGGAAGTGTTTCCCAGGTTAACGCCAAAATTCCAGCCAGCTGGCTCGTTTATCTACATCCAGAATTGTTATATTAATGTCTGTCAACGCCGACATTTGACGGTAGATTGACGAAACTGTGATATTAACGCCGTGAACGAGAGGAAACATCCGACGTCTGGTCTCTGGCAGCCATATTGCGTGGATCAGAAGGTAGGAGAACAGGCAAGGAACACTTGCTAGGATCACTTTCATCTTGTCATCGCTTACTAACCTATCTAGATCTGGCACCAAGACAAGACCAGCTGTACGCGACGAACGTATATCCATCTACAATATCTGATATTTTTGGTAACGGCGAATCGAAGTCGTGTTTCCACAAATTTAGTAAACTAAAGTTAAACTCCCGTCGTTGTGACGTTACACAAGACACAGCTGTTCGTTGGTTTCCTGCCACCCTTTTTCACTTTAATATTATATACATCCCTGGCATCATTGTGTCTGGCTTCGAGGACTGTGACTGCCCTGAGTGTTGAATCCCCGCTTTAAATAGCCAGCAAACAGACGGAAGATTATCTGATTTTATCGTGAAACCTGAAACCATTTTCTGGGCTTCTTAGTGGCACTCATCACACAAGGTAACAAATTTAAAAAAACATACCCTTTCTTGACAGGACGGAGACGAAAGCATGGCAACACTCTTGGTCTTGGTCTTCGCTACTTTTATTTCATCCCCCCCCCCCCCATTTAAATTTAATGTTGTAAAATGCTCAATTTTCCTTTTGTCAAAAATAGCAGTGGTACATCCGTCCCTTACGTTATCTAAATGAAAAGGTACTTGCCACATGTTCAGAAAAAATCATTTCCTTACTCAATCATATTCTGAACTATTAAAGGCAAAGCAAATGAATGGCTCTAGTAACAAAACATGAAGCAGTTTTAATACATAAATTTAATACTGTTTGGTTATATTTATATAAATGACTAATATTTTTATTTATTTACTTACAATATTGTGCACTTCACTACTTATTCTAGATTAGAATGTGAACAGATCTGATCTTCATAGCATAGTCACACTGTTACTGACTACGGGCTGTGACTTCCATGCCTCCCTGTAGCTCAGGGGAACACTATCCTCTGCAAAGACTGCTAGATTCCAGTCAGTTTATTTTCAACATCTTTATGAAAGAACTGTTCATATTGTGCCAGATTTATTATTAAATTAAGCATTTAAAAAAAAAATGTTACTACACTAAAGTGATGGCAGAATAGTGGCCTAACAAACTTGATGTCAAAAGACAATGACTGCGAGAGATTTATATCTGAATAGTTTAACTTTCTAACATTGTCACGACACACACTCAGGTATGAATGTTTTTCGTTTTCCCTGACTTAGATTCCTTTCTTCCAGATTTACTTCCTGACCCAGCATGGGGGTTAGGGTAGTCAACAGTGTCAGCCATAATCATCTTATGCTTATAGCAATTCCATTAGAGAATGCCTGAGAATTAAAAGGTATTTGCTGAAATAAATAAAAAACGAGCCTCTTTCTTTAAATATTTTTGCCATTCTTTTAAAAATTAGACCACGCTAGAAGGAAAAAAAGTTAAGTGGAATGACATCATCAATCAAGAGATGGGTAAATAGCAGTAAGAGTATAATCAAGAGGGTGGAGAGATTTTGGGTATCAATTGAGACAACGCCTGACTGATTGATTGTAGAAAGATTTATCCATTCCTAATGCAACCAGTGCCTTACATGATGGTCACTTACAGCAAACCAGAAAAAAACATTATTAAAGGAAATAAGATATTTGAGAAAGGCTGCAGGAGTGGCAATAAAATCATGAAATTATAAATGAAAATGTTGACATAGAACCATTACTGAGCTACATACAAAGACAGGACATAAAATTGTTTACCCTCTGAACTCTTGAGTCCCAGGGGATTAAGCATCAGAGGGTGGTAATGCCATTTTTTAATTATACAAGTGTAACACATTGAAATAGACCATACTAATTCTATTGCCGCGCATCATACACATATTATACATCAAAGTGAACAGGCATTGTTGAGGAATAACTATAGAGTATAGCTACAACAAATAATTGTGCAAATAATTAAACATTAGCAAATAAGCAGACGGTATGTTTACAAAAATTAGTAAATCAAAATTTAAAAAAAATCCCACTTACACCATGATTGCGCCTCGCTTTAGAAACAAATTAGCTCATGATGCGTTCCTTCGGACTCAAAGCGTTGAAGAAAATACCTTTAATACCATAGCATTCAACACATGCCCCAAAAGAGGAGAGAGCTGTAAGATCTGAGGGAGAACAAGAAAGAAAGATAAACTCATAGATACTATACTGCAATGTGATATGTTAGTTGTTGGGGCAGCCAGAAGAGCCAGAACAAGAACCTTATCCTTCCCTCAACACCTGAATCAGTACAATAGGAAGTGAAGGTAACCAATGGAAAGCTCCACAAGTGGACACACAGATTATCAAACTTGATGTTTAGGAAAACTGCAGTGGAATTCAAAGTTCTTCAGCATTTCAAGCCCTTGAGGTTTATTGCTAAAGCTATCACCTGCTTCCATTCATCTGTAACTTACTTTCTTTTTTTTCCACTTACTGACACTAAGCGTCTATAGGTCTACGTGTATATTATCTCCACCATCGTCTTGTTGTGCCTTAACCCTATACAATGTTGTGGAGGGGGAACCACTTAGCTCCCTTGCAAATTTTCTTTGGGGGGAGGGAAGGGGGCGCAGGGTTGGAGTTGTCTTAGCTCCCAGGTGCCGTCAACTACGGCTAAAATTGGCTGTATGGTAAACTTATATTCTTGTTCTGATCCGGCCAGGTGTAGCTGAAGTTTACCCACACACAGCCCGCACCATGTCTATGGAACAGAATGGCAACCAGAACATCGCCAGTCCTCTGTACTGCCGCAATGGCTGCGGGTTCTATGCTGCTCAAGCGTTTGATGGCATGTGCTCAAAGTGCTACAAAGATCTGAAGCAGATGCAGCAGAACGAGTCGCCGGTAACAGCGGTTCAGTCACCTACCTCCTCCCTCAGCAGGGCTTCCCTTCTCGGTGGTGCCGATGACAACGGTTTGGGGGCTGTGACCTCGGCTTTAAGCAGGGCCACTTTAGGTAAGGCTGATGTGTGTGGATGAGAGAGAGAGGCGGGGGAGATGAACATGAACAAAGATAATATAGGGCTGCTAAAGATAGCCATTTGTAATTGATATATGAGAGAGATATCAAGGTCAGAAGATCATTAGGAGAGGCTAAAAATGTTGGGCTGAACTCCATGTCAGAAATTAAGAGTTGCATGCAATAAAGCGGAGTGAAGGAATTGAATGGAAGCCGTAGCCCTATGTGGTGTTTAATGACACACAAAAGAGGCTGTACGGATATCCTCCGAATAACAGTCCCAAATTATCGAGGTTGAAAATATACCCTAACGGGGCCTTAGTCCGAGGTCACCGCCGAGAGTTATCTCCCGCGCCGCGCGTAGCGGGGCAAAACTAGATGGCTGGGACTCACAAGCAGCAGCTACCTCATCTTGTGTAGCTTCATTGATTTGATTTGCTCGTGAATCCCAGGTTTAGCCCGCTCCGCGCTGTGGGCGCCTGCTGGAGATACTCGTGGCGGTATAGTCGCCGAAAAGAGGTCTGCAATTTACATCTGGCTGAGGCCTTGTTAGAGTATATTTTCGGCCTCAATAGTTTGGGACCGTTATTCTGAGGATAGTCGGATGTACTCTAAAGGCCTTACTCAAAGTGATTGAATATATTCTAGTTTGTAATTGTATCATTGTCTGTGTGTGTCGAATGTTGATGAAAGCTTGCTTGCTGCCATGTTCATGTTTGTTGTCCGTGATTGCGGCACTGGGGAGCTGCCAGTTCTACTTCTCGTTTCATGAGTTATTTCCCTTTATGGGTTCCTGGGTCTGTTGCACGGGTTTGTGTGGGTGTGGGGGAACGTCGGCTGGAGGGGGGGTAGACCCACTGCCTCCCTAACAAGCATGTCATAATAGTCGACTAATGAAGGATTTCCTCTAAAGTATGAGTGCATCTGCCTGGGAGGTAAGGCAAACAAGATCTGTAAGCTGGATGTGTCCGCAAAAGTCCTGTCCTAGAATGAGACTAACCACTTGAAATGGATGAACAACCAAGGCTTTTTGCCAGTCACAGCAAGTGAACGCAAAGAAGATGAGTTGGATATTTCTATTCAGAAGTGAGAAGAAGATTTCAGTGATTGTTTGAGGAATGTTTTTCAATTTGAATTGTAAATGTTAGCTGGCTTGAGATTTGTATAGATTTGACATGTGTGTGGTGATAATAGAAAACTGTACTGTGTGTTGAACAGAAATGAGCATGGCAACTGGCAGTATTGACAAGCTTGGGGCTGTGGGTGGCTCAGAGGTAGAGACGGCTAGTCCCACTGTGACCTCGGTGAAAGCTTATCACAATGAGAAGGATGTTACTAGGGAACTGGCTGGCAGTACTGACGGTAAGGGATGGTTTTTTCTAGTGTTTATATTTACCTTGTGTTTTTCTCTGTCTCTATACCCAGCCAGCAAAAGGCACATTAGCACTGTCATATATATTAGACACTTTCATGCACTCTGGACTCATATATATCAGACACTTTCACACACTCGGGACTGATTTATATCAGACACTTTCATGCACTCGGGGCTCATATTTATTAGACACTTTCACACACTCGGGACTCGCATATATCAAGCACTTTCACACACTAATCCATATAATGACAGATTCTTTTTTATCATTTGTTTGTGATGGGTGTGGGACACCTCCTGTCTCCCCGACAGTGTCATGACAGCTGTCACTGTGGTTTTAATATCCCACTTTAAGGCCATACTGTCTGATATTTGTTGCACTAGTTTTTACCTGTAAAAGTTTTTGTTTGAAATTATTGTCTGTGAAACTTTGGCGCAATTGTTACTGTCTGCGGCATCTTTTGACATTTTTGTTGTCTGTGAAACTTTGGGGCAATTGTTACTGTCTGTGATATCTGTTGATAGTCAAGGAAAGGTACTTACTAACATTAAAGATAAAAAGGACGGATGGGCTGGATATTTTGAAATACTTCTAAATAGAACAGGCCCAGAGGTTCCTCTAGATATTCAGCCTTTATCAATGGAACTGGATATCAACTGTGAGATACCATCTAAAGAGGAAATTAGAAAAGCTATCAATCTTTTCAAGGAAGGAAAGGCGGTCGGTCTAGATGGTATCCCAGCAGAAGCTGTTAGGGCCAACAAAAACACAATGGAATTGCTACATAGATTAATTAAGTAAAGTCTGGGAGACGCATAGATTATTTAGTAAAGTCTGGGAGACCGAAGAAATACCAGCGGACTTTAAAGAAGGATATCTTATTAAACTGCCCCAAAAAGGTGATCTACAGGAGTGTGAAAACTATAGAGGAATTATGTTGCTGTCAGTTCCTGGAAAAAAATTAAATAGAATTATTTTGGAAAGATTAAAAGATGCTATTGATAAAATGCTAAGAGATGAGCAGGCAGGTTTTCGGTCAAACAGATCCTGTACTGATCAGATAGCCACATTACGTATTAAAATAGAGCAAAGCATTGAACTGAACTCACCACTTTACATTGGATTTATAGACTATGAAAAAGCATTTGACAGCAATGATAGGGAATCTCTCTGGAAATTGATGGGGCACTATGGAATCCCACAGAAAATTATCAACTTAGTAAAGGCAACATATAAAGACATGAAATGTCGAGTTCTTCATGAGGGAAAGCTAATAGATGCATTTGAAATAAAAACAGGTGTGTGACAGGGATGTCTTTTGTCGCCTCTCTTATTTTTACTGGCCATAGACTGGACTATGAAAACAGTAACTGCTAACACCAAGAATGGAATTCAGTGGACCCCCACAAAACAGCTTGATGATCTGGACTTTGCTGATGATATTGCCCTTCTGTCCCATTCACAAAATCAGATGCAAGATAAATTAAACATATTTGATGCGAGACATGAAAGGTCTTGGTCTGAAAATCCATAAAGGAAAGATAAAGATAATGAGAATAATTCAGGCAACTAGTAATATGGTTTCTTTTAATGGCACCCCTCTCCAAGACATGGAGTCGTAAAACTATTTGGGCAGTAATGTAGATAAAGAGGGTGGAACTGATAGAGATATTAAAATAAGAATACAAAAAGCAAGAGGAGCTTTCATAGCACTAGGAAATTTGTGGAAGTCAAAAGAAATTAAAAGAAATAATAAACTTAAAAATGTTTAATTCTAGTGTCAAATCAGTACCTTTGTATGGGGCGTAATCATGGACAACAACAAAGGCAATTAGTTATAAACTACAGACATTAACTAGTGCCTGCGAATAGAGGGAATTGAATGGTATGATGTAGAGCTTTGGGGGAAAACTAAGCAGGCTCCAGTGGACCAAGAGGGGAAGAATAGAAACTGGCGTTGGATAGGACACGCATTGACAAAATTGGAGAACAATATAACTAAAAATGAACAATATAACTAGAATGTCTTTGCATTGGAACCCACAGGGGCAGAAGAATAAAGGAAGGCGAAAAACACAGAAGGGAGCTGGAGAATGAAGTTAGAAAGATAGGGAGAGCTGGATGCGTTAGCAAAGGGTAGAACGACTGACTCTGGGTGAGGTGGTTGAGGGCCTGCGCTCTATTGGGGGGCTAGAAAGGCAGAAGAAGAAATCTGTTGCCATATTGTTTTGTGTGGTCACAACCCCCCTCTAATGCTTGTTTGACTATCATCCCCTCCTCCTAACCCTAACAGGTGACAGTGGCAGTGATGGAGATAAAGGACAGAAATCTAAAAAGAATCGCTGTATGGAATGTCGGAAAAAGAGTCGGTCTGACAGGTCTGTAAATGTTTGTCTTGTTTGTTAATAAGTTGAAAATAATAGCAGGGCCGTGACAGCACAGTGGATAACATTTTGCTTGCCAGATCAACGGTGTTGAGTTGGGATCAGTATCGGGGACACATTTTCTGAACTGTTTTTCTGAGTTGACAGCCTAAAAGGAGTAGCCATGTTAACCAGAATAAAATGGAAACTAGAAAATGGTCTTGTGCGGTAGAGCAAATAGTGTGATGTTAGCTCTCTCTCTCTCTCGTTCCTTTTAAAAATTTTTTCTCTCTCTCTTTAGTTCCTTCTATTGCTGTATGATGCCTCTTGTTCCTTCTATTGCTCTCTGATTTCTGTCTGTCTATCTGTCTGTCTCTCATTCCTTCTATTGCTGTCCGATCACTCTTGCTCACCCCCCTCTCTCTCTCTCATACATACATGTATATATGCCTGTATGTGTGTATGCCTGTATGGTTGTGTGAATGTATGTGTGTATGTAATGTATGTGAGTGGGTGAGCGTGGGTGTGTATATGCACGTGCGGGTTTTTGCATGGACCTGACAACTCATGCTTTTGTGCTCTTTTATAATATTTATAATATATGTATCATCATATGATCATAACATGCTTTATTAGAAAATACAACTGCTGTGCGAAAGATGGTTGACTGTAAGGGCCGAATGTAAGATGGGCCTGCGTACCCAATTTGTGACCCTTTAAAAATTAAGTTAGTTTGTTGGTTCTCTCTGTCTTACTGTCTCTGGTTCTGGCTATTGCTGACCATTTCTTGATGTTTTTCATCTTACTCTTTGTGTGTCTTACTCTGGGACACTTACTGCTGTTGTGTGGTCCTCTCAATGTCTGTCTGTCTGTACTATGTTTCTCCTTTGATCTGTTTCACACTCAAGTGGTCCTCAATGTCTGTCTGTACTATGTTTCTCCTTTGATCTGTTTTACACTCAAACTGCCAAGTTCAGTCCTGATCTATTGTGACTTGTTTCTGAATTCTTTTCCCTCATAGCCACACCCTCCCCCCATCCTGACACACATCCACCTGTGCTTACCTGTTTTAACTGTTGCTCTCTTGCCAGGTTTTACCTGCCACTGTGGGAGACTGTTCTGCAGCTTACATCGCTACTCAGACACACATGCCTGTACGTTCGACTTCAAGGAAAAGGGCCAGGAGGAGATACGCAGGAATAATCCTGTCATCAAGGGAGCTAAAATACATAAAATTTGAATTCTGCATTCTTCCTCAATATCTCTATTTTGGTTCTGGCCACAAGGTCATGTTTTGATGATTTCTCCCTTTGTGTCTACAGTGCTGTATCCTGTATTGAAACATAAGCATATATAAATATGTAGATACATACATACATTGTTATGTGTGTATATATATCTTTTGGAGTTTGTGTACAGATTACAGTTGATTCCATCAAGGATCATGTGTGCAATTAGTGTCTTGTGTGCGGTTTTAGTTTTAGGACACTTCATTGGTGAGTGACTGGGAGATGCTTGTAGGTGACTAGGGGGTATGATTGATGTTAAAGGTTGAGCTTTGCAGCAATGAAATCCATGAAGTTGATGCACCGGGCTGAGATTTGAGAGTTTAAAGCCACAAAGTTGATGCACAGGGCTGAGATTTGAAACTAAAGCCATGAAGTTGATGCACAGGGCTGAGATTTGAAACTGTAAAGCCATGAAGTTGATGCACAGGGCTGAGATTTGAAACTGTAAAGCCATGAAGTTGATGCAGAGGGCTGAGATTTGAAACTGTAAAGCCATGAAGTTGTTGCACAGGGCTGAGATTTGAAACTGTAAAGCCATAAAGTTGATGCACATTGCTGAGTCTGGAAGAACATGTGTAAGAAATAATTGATGCTATATGAGGCAGAAGGCTGTTCATAGACATGATTACCAACGCCACACGGCGTGGAATTGTTATAACATTATGAGATATAGTCTATAAGGTCAGAGTTGGATACATTCAAACAGATGGATTCTTTTCATTTTAAATATCCAGAAACCATGAGTCGTTAACCTTTGGCTCAGTACTATGGATATCGCAACCCTTTGGTCTTGATTCCATGATAGATACTGTAAATCTGGGAGACATGTGGCTTTTCTGCCTTTCCCCGAGGTGTGAACCCGGACCATAAGGTTTCCCCCAGTCAGGTTTAAACAATTTAGCGAGCTGGGCAAACAGATGGATATGTTTAGGTTTTAAACGACCGATCAACATTATGGCACACGGGTAGTAACCTATAAGTGCTCTGTTCTACTTCTAACTCAAGTCTGAGTCCAACGAATCTCAGCGCAGTGCACAAACTCTGTAGCACCAGCGAGGATCCTAAAAAATACTTTGAGTAGATTTTGAACTCAACATTTTGCCCGGGCAGCACCATTAGGTTGCTCTTTTTTTTAAAAAAAAATTCTTCTGTCAGAAATGTATGTCAGGTCACCAGATGAAAATTAAAGTGCAGTCCAAATCTTCCCATGTACTGTGTAGCTTGGGTGAGAGTGAAATGGGCTTCTCTGTTGGCAGTGTACAGTTAGCAGTGTTACAGGCTGACTGTTTTCAAGTGCCAGGTTACAGGCACCTATTCCATGTTTCCTTCACTGGAAAGGTTAAACGTACGAGTATATTGGCAATGTCTGTTGTGTCCTGTCCTTAGTTTGGCACTGAATGAAACTTTAAACCAGAGCAAGGTACTCTGTTGGTGTCCTGATTTCATCCATCAAGATATAAAACAGTCCTTGCGTCTGCATGTCTTTCAGAATGTCCATTAATTCCAAATTTATGACCACTTTAGAGAATCCCTTTCAGCCCTGTAGTGTCCACCATTGACTTTGCAGTGCCGCCGTTCTCTTGCCTTTTGCTGCCCTCACAGTCTGCACCAGTTTGGGTTACCCTATTGTCTTTAAATATGTTTAATGTTTTCGCATATACCTTCTGACCTTGCAGCTAGATTGTTGATTAGAGCTATTTAACTGACAGCCCACCGATGTCTAGTAACTGGCCCACGGATTATTTACAGTTGGGTCAAATGTTAGTCTCCCCATAGAAAGTAGGTCACGTTCCATTAATAACTTTCTTGGACTGGTCTAACCTGCTGAACGTTATGAGTGTGCCGCTCTGTTGTTTGCTTTCTGGGATGTCTTGCGTTTACTTTTTTATTCCGAGAAAGAATGCCTGTAACGTAGGTTTCATCACTCTCTAAAGGGGTTGTGTGTTAGACCCAGTTTCTCAATGTTTTTGTAATTGTTAAAGGTGCTGAAATATAGAAGACACAATATCAACGGCATTGGGTACAACCGTCACCTTGTGAAAAAGGTCGGGTGGCTGAAGGTCGACCAATCAGAAGTGAGATGCTGCGTATATGGAGGGGGCGCTAATATTTCTATTACCATCAGTTGTAATAATGATCTTCCTGTGCTGAGTACTCTGGCCAACAGTGGTCACCATTTTCAGCATTTTGGTCCCTGAGTAAACTTAGAAGCACTGCTGGAGAGGAGACCCTGCACCTACATACACCAAACCTCTGACAAGCTAGATTGTAGACCGTCTTGTTACGCTCACTTGTCTGTATCCTTTTCTGGCAGCGCTGACCTGTAAAATATAACTTTTGTGTCCAGCTATGATACCTCTGCCTTTGTTTTGTGCTAGCATGGGCTCAGTCTTTGACCAGCTAGGCTGTAGACTTGGTGCACCAGACTTGGGCTTCCTGAATGTCTGTCTGATGTTTGCAGGCATGGAGAAGTTATGATGGTGGACAAATTGTGTCTGATGTTTGCAGGCATGGAGAAGTTATGATGGTGGACAAATTGTGTCTGATGTTTGCAGGCATGGAGAAGTTATGATGGTGGACAAATTGTGTCTGATGTTTGCAGGCATAGAAAAGTTATTATGGTGGACAAATTGTGTCTGCTGTTTGCAGGCATAGAAAAGTTATGATGGTGGACAAATTGTGTCTGATGTTTGCAGGCATAGAAAAGTTATGATGGTGGACAAATTGTGTCTGATGTTTGCAGGCATAGAGAAGTTGTGATGGTGGACAAATTGTGTCTGATGTTTGCAGGCATGGAAAAGTTGTGATGGTGGACAAATTGTGTCTGATGTTTGCAGGCATGGAGAAGTTATGATGGTGGACAAATTGTGTCTGATGTTTGCAGGCATGGAGAAGTTATGATGGTGGAGGGTTATGATGGTGGACAAATTGTGTCTGATGTTTGCAGGCATGGAGAAGTTATGATGGTGGACAAATTGTGTCTGATGTTTGCAGGCATAGAAAAGTTATGATGGTGGACAAATTGTGTCTGATGTTTGCAGGCATAGAAAAGTTGTGAAGGTGGAGAGGTTGACTATCATGGCTTCACTGTGGCGGAGAAATTGACTTCTTTTTCTTCTTGTCTAGTCTCATATTGCCTTATAGCTTGAGGTTTTGTGTGAGAGCTTTTATGTGCTACATAGATGCATGCTATTGATGGTCTTGGATCTGCTTTCAGTGTGTCTGACAGGCTCTGTGTGGTGCAGTGTCTGGCCTAGAGACAGGAATTGACTATCATGGCTTAACAGTGTTGGAGAAATGTTTTGACAAATTTGTAAAAGATGAGAAATTGTGAATGTAAGTATGCACAGGTCGAGAAAATGTATGTTTTGGTTGAGAAATTGTTGGTCACGACTTGCAAATTGCCTTATCGTCTGACACTGTTTTTTTGTGTGAAAGCTTGTGAAGTGGAACATTTTTCTGCTATTGTGGAGAAATGGATCTGCCAATTGCTTGTGAAGTGGAACATTTTTCTGAAAGGTGGAGAAATGTTCTGCCAATTGCTTGTGAAGTGGAACATTTTTCTGAAAGGTGGAGAAATGTTCTGCCAATTGCTTGTGAAGTGGAACATTTTTCTGAAAGTATGCACATGTTCGAGAAAAATGCTTGTTTGGTTGAGAAATTGTTGGTCACGACTTGCAAAGGTAGAGATCGTCTGACACTGTTTTTTAAAGTGGAAAACTTGCTTGTGAAGTGGAACATTTTTGTGAAAGGTGAAGAAATGTTCTGTCATTGCTTGTGAAGTGGAGAAATTATCTGACATTATTTGTAAAGGTGAAGAAATTTTCTGTCATTGCTTGTGAAGTGGAGAAATTGTTTGTAAAGAATTGACTCCTCACAGAAAGGTCACTTCCTGGGGTCATGTGTACAGCCTGTGTAGGTCAGATGCCAGTGGGACATGTATATAGTAACGACACCGGCGGTATTTTGGTATCATGGTACTGCCTGGGATGATGCGATTAGCGGACTAGTGGTCCATGTTGTGTAAAAACTAATGTACATTTTCATTCACTTGTATGCTGTAGCTAGAGTTGATCATTGTGTGCGTGTGTGTTTATATCACCTTTTTAGTGGATACATTGCCTAGCCAGAATATTTGTCAGTGTGTGTACATGTGTGGGCTAACAAGTTTAAAAATCACTGGGACAGGTTGACCTAGCACTTACCTCCCATGTTGTGTATACACCTGTGGGTGCTGGGACAGAATTGATCTAGCACTCAACTCCCATGTTGTGTGTACACCTGTGGGTGTTGGGACAGGTTGACCTAGCACTCAACTCCCATGTTGTGTGTACACCTGTGGGTGCTGGGACAGAATTGATCTAGCACTCAACTCCCATGTTGTGTGTACACCTGTGGGTGTTGGGACAGGTTGACCTAGCACTCAACTCCCATGTTGTGTGTACACCTGTGGGTGCTGGGACAGAATTGATCTAGCACTCAACTCCCATGTTGTGTGTACACCTGTGGGTGTTGGGACAGGTTGACCTAGCACTCAACTCCCATGTTGTGTATACACCTGTGGGTGCTGGGACAGAATTGATCTAGCACTCAACTCCCATGTTGTGTGTACACCTGTGGGTGCTGGGACAGAATTGATCTAGCACTCAACTCCCATGTTGTGTGTACACCTGTGGGTGTTGGGACAGGTTGACCTAGCACTCAACTCCCATGTTGTGTATACACCTGTGGGTGCTGGGACAGAATTGATCTAGCAACTCAACTCCCATGTTGTGTGTACACCTGTGGGTGTTGGGACAGGTTGACCTAGCACTCAACTCCCATGTTGTGTGTACACCTGTGGGTGCTGGGACAGAATTGATCTAGCACTCAACTCCCATGTTGTGTGTACACCTGTGGGTGCTGGGACAGGTTGACCTAGCACTCAACTCCCATGTTGTGTGTACACCTG